AAAAAAAAAAAAAAAAAAAAAGCTAAGAGAATGCAGGGCATGGTCGCACACACTTGTAATCCTAGCTGCAAGCTATTCAGGAGGCTGAGGCAGAAGGATTGCCATTTCAGGGCCAGCCTGGGCTACCTGGTGAGGTCAAGGCCAGCCTGAATTATATAGCAAGACCCTGTGTCAAAAGATGACAACAACAAAACAAAACAAAACAAAACAAAAAAGGGCTGGGGATGCACGCTTGAGGCCGTGGGTTCAATCCTTGCAGGGGCTAAGGAAATAGGGGCACCTGGGTATCACCGTACCAATGCTTCATGTACAAAGAGAGCTAGATTTGGGTTATAGAACCGGTGAGTATCATTTACCCAGGTCCCCAAGGCAAGGTAGAGGGTAAGAGAGAAATCAGGCCAGACCCCAGCCCTTGCAGTCCAGCTGGGGGGAAGACACAGCCGCAGGGCAGACGGATACTTTCTGATGATGCTAGGAGCACAGCGCCTACTTGGGGCTGTGGGAACTCAGAGCCCCCTCGCCTGCGGTTGGCAGGAAGAGCCCATTGACGCATTTCCGGCTCAGGCTTCAGGGATGAAGAAGGGATGTGCAGGAGCAGAGAGGGTAAAGGTGCTCTGGGCAGGGAGCACAGCATGTGCAAAGGTGCGGAGCTGTGAGCTCCTGTGCTCTGGCTCAGGAACCTTCAAACAGATCCGATGGAGCCTCAAAAGAACTGACAGCAGAATCTGATCTCTCTTTCTGTGTATTATTATCTGGTTCGTTCCTGCAGGAGAATGTCAGTAACATGGGGGCAGGAAGGGTGCCGCTTCCTGAGCGCTCCAGAGCCTGCAGCGGTGCTTGGCATCTAGGGTTCGAACTGTGAATGAAAATATGGCAGGTGGGTGGGGCTCCCAGTCTGCTAAGGTATTCCGCTGTATCCTGAGCCAGGGGGCCGCTCTGGGAGAGTTTAAAGTGGAAAAAGAAATCCGGGCGTGGTTGCACCTGCCTGTAATCCCAGCACCTGGGAGGCTGAGGCAGGAGGATCATCGCAAGTTCGAGACCAGCCTGGTCTACAAAGTGAGCTCAAGGCCAGCCTGAACTTCATAGTGAGACCCTGTCTCAAAAAGACAAAAAATAAAGTGGAAAAAGAACACGAGCCGATGTGAGCAGTAGGAAAGCCCTTTGACAAGTGAGGGCTGGGAAAGAAGGAGTACAATGGGAGCAGGGCGGAAGCGTTGGGAAATAGGGATGATTCTGTGCAATGAAGCAGCTTTCACTTTGGCGATGTTGGGTTGAGACCCTCAGAAGGGGATGGTCTCAGTGGGGCTCCGTGACTTGGGTGAGGTCCAGCAAGTTGGTTCCGTCCGGGGATTCAGTCCTCCCTTTGCAGCGCCCCAGCCCTGGGGCGACTTCTCGGAGCTCCAGCATCTGGAGAAGATCTGACCTAATGTTACAGGCAGCTGAGTCAGATAGAAATATTATAGGCAGTCAGACAGGGCCAGGCCCTAGAGGGAGCCAACATGAAAGACAGGAGAAGATGCATATTTGCTGTGGGCCAGATCCCAAGACAGAAGATTAAACAAACGCACCCACACACCTCCCTAGGGATGGACATCAGGGATTGATATTCTAAGTAGGTGGCGATCACCTTGAAGTCACTGACCCAACCCCTTCCAGGAAAAGCCCCTGTTCTGTGTTCATGTCCACTTGCTACATGACTTCCCCATTTGATCCTGACTTGATCAATTTTATCTGAACAATTCTTATTGGCTGACCATAGTTTTGTCCCACCTCGTGCCCACCTTGTGATTTCCCATTTTTCCCCTACCTTGGGCCCGCCTTTCACCTCGCAGTTTTGTTCTATGAAAGTCCCTAAAAAAGACAGAGTCCTGGGAAACCCACTCGGGCCCCCCTTCTGTCCCTCTCTCGGACAGAAGCTTTCTTTCCCTCAATAAATATATTCTGCTCTTAACCTCCATTGTTCCTAAAATTCATTCTTCGATTTTTTTTTTTTTTTTTTTTTGTCTTTTTGAGACAGGGTCTCGCTATGCAGTTGAGGCTGGCCTTGAGCTCACTTTGTAGCCCAGGCTGGTCTCGAACTCATAATGATCCTCCTGCCTCAGCCTCCTAAGTGCTGGGATCACAGGCGTGCGCCACCACACCCGGCATTCTTTGATTTTAGAGAACAGGAACTCATACCAGGTATCATCCCAGGTATCGTTCAGGTTGGGAGTGTCTATTTTCCTGTATCACTAGGCGGGTGGCGGAGAGGATTCGCTACTCCTATTCTTCCGCTGCCCAAAAGCTGAGAAGAGCGCGATTAAGTTCTCCTGGTCCCAAAAGATTGGCTGGGAGGAAAGAGGCGGGAAGAGCGAATTTGGGTCTCGGCGGCCGCCGTAGGCGCGGCGCTCTGGTCCCCATGGCAACAACTCGAAGCGCCAAGATTCTGGGCGGTGCCGGAGCCGGGGCAGTTTGGACCTCGCGCGGCGCGGTGTCTCCGAACTGCTGGCAGCCCGGACGGCGCAGGTGACGGGACCGGTGGATAGAGGGCGCCCAGGTGTGGGGGCAGCGGCGGTGCATGGTCAGGGCCGGGCTGGGGCCTGTGTGGGGCCTGTGAAGGCGCCGCCCTTGAATCTCCCTCCCCGCTTTGGGATCCGAAGCCATTGTTGGGCCTTGGTTTCTCTGCACGAAAAATGGGAGAGCGGGCACCGCAGCCTAGCGGCCCTTCTCAGCCTCTGAGCCCGAGACCTTCTCTCCCCTGCAGCTCCTGGACTGGCTGGCCCTGCCCTGCCCCATGGACGTGAGTCCACCTCCTCCCCGCGCTGCAACAGCCCCTCGGTGCGCTGTGCCCACCCTGACTTCGAGCCCGGACTGGGAAGGCTGCTTCCAGCCAACATAGGAGCTGCCGGCTCGCAAGAGCTGGACGTGGGGCGGGGGGCGTTATCCCTGATGCTAGGGGATTTACCAGGTCATCGGGTCGTGCAGGAAGTAGACAGCAAATGGCAAAGACGGCAGCCTGGGAGGCAGAGGGCAGAGCATCTGAGGAACTGCGGGACCAGACGGGGGGCTGCGTCACGGAAACGTTTTCTTCTCAGTCACTGGGAGCCGCTGGTGGGTGGGAAAGGCGGGGTACGCCAGACAGCTGTTGCAGAAAGAGGCAGCGTTGCAGGTTTCAAGAGCGGCCAGCCGGTAGCGCGGGCAAGGATCAGGGGGTGCAGTCACAGGCTGTTGGAGAGGCGGTCTGAAAAAAAGGGCAGTGAATCTCAGGAGATTCCAAATGACCACCAAGCACCCGATGGCAGTGAAGTGAGGATGACAAGGGGGAAAGGCAGGTTTGGGGGCTAAGAGGATGAGTCAGGCCGGGCCTGGTGGTGCACACCTGTAATCCCAGCTCTCCGGAGGCTGAGGCAGGAGGATCCTTGTGAGTTAGAGACCAGCCTGGGCTACAAAGTGAGCTCAAGGCCAGCCTGAACTGCATAGGGAAATCCTGTCTCAAAACCACAAAAAAATGATAATGAGTCAGAGTGTCATCCTATTGGCTCTCCCTCCCACCGCCTGCCACCTCTGTGTCCTTGTATCCTGCGTTTCTGCAGCCCTCTCCCTTGTCTCTGCTTCCTCCCCTCCACATCCAGGCGTCCTCTAGCCAGTGGAATCCAAGCCCGGCTCCCGTCAGCAGCCCGCCCCTGCTGCTCCCCATCCCTGCCATCGTCTTTATCACTGTGGGCATCTATCTGTTGCTGCTGGGCCTCGTGCTGCTGACCAGGCACTGCCTGCTGGTGAGGGGCCTGGCGGGTGAAGGGTGGGCTCTGGGGAGGAGGAACCAGATGAATGGTCCCCTCGCCTGCAGGCTTTTGCCCGGAGCGGCCCTTGCCAGTTTGTTCTTGCATCCACCCTTTCTGTGGCAGTAGTGAGTCCCTCCTGCCCGTGGTCAGTCAACCCTTCTCCTGCCCCTCTCCTGAAAGCAAGTCCCCGCTGTCCCTGGGCGCCGCCTGGCCCCGCTGATGAGCCCTGCCATCTCCTAGGTCCAGGGCTGCTGCATAGACTTCAGTTCCCCCTGCAGGAAGCAAGGTGCCTCCGAGCCCCAGGACTGTTGCTGGACCTGTGCGGAAGCCTGCGACTTTCCTCTGCCCAACCCAGCCGGCTACCTGGATGCCTGCTGCCCCCAGCCCAGCGAAGCTGTGAGTTCCGTTCTTACCCAGAGTCCTGATCCAGGTTCCATCTGTGCCTGCACTTTCTTTATTCACCCACATTTGTTACTGAGCACCAGCTCTCAGTCAGGCGTGGTTTCAGGCATCGAGGCACGTGGAGGCAGCCATAGACAACGTAAACAACCTATCAGGTCATGTCTGCTCGTGAAAGTTCCTTGAGGAAAGTAAGGCAACAGCTGAGGAAAGGTGATCTGTGTAACGTGCTTGGTACATAATCAGAACTTTTATTTATTTATTTATGTTTTTTTTTTTCCGGTACTGGGAATCGAACTCATGACCTCGCGCTTGCCAGGCCGGTGCTGTGCCACTAAGCTAAATCCCCAGCCCCAATCAGAACTTTTTAAAGTGGTAGTTAAACGAAAAAACTTGATGGAGTACTTTCTGTTCACTGAGGAAATATTATGTTCCAGAGGAAGTATTATGTTCCAGAGAACAGTGCCACTTTTTTGACATTATTATTTTCTCAAAAGCTCTGAGAGGGGCTAGGGATATAGTTCAGCAGCATGAGGTCCTGAGTTTGATTTCTGGTTCCAAAAAAAAAGCCCTGAGTGCTGGGTAATTTTTTTTTTTATCTTTTTGAGACAGGGTCTCGCTATGCAGTTCAGGCTGGCCTTGAGCTCACTTTGTAGCCCTGGCTGGTCTTGAACTCACAATGATCCTCCTGCCTGAGTGTCCCTGAGTGCCGGGATTAGAGGTGTGCACCACCATGCCCGACATGAGCTGGCTATTTTTTTATGTTAATTTTGAATTGATACATACTAATTATGCAAGCTGGTTACTAAAATAAATTTTTTCTAATTACACCAAGTATTGTATACAATGTATACAGATAGAAGAAAAAGAAAGTATGAATTACAGTATAGACCAGCCCTCTAACCCAAAGTTGCTCCACATACATTAGATACACACATTGATATACAGTACTGTCAGCTGCTGTGCCTTCCTATTATTTGACACAAATGGAGTCATGCCACGCTGTTTCATCACAACTGCTATTTGCCCTTTTTTTTTTTTTATTTATTTATTGTCTTTTTGAGACAGGGTCTCGCTATGCATTTCAGGCTGGCCTTGAGCTCACTTTGTAGCCCAGGCTGGCCTTGAACTCGCAATGATTCTCCTGCCTCAGCCTCCCAAGTGCTGGGATTACCGGCATGCACCACCACGCCCGGCTCTGCCCTTTATATTAGACATCACACTATGGACACCTGTCCATGCCGATCATATAGACAAATAATACTGTGGAGAAATAGCTAAGAGGAGTTTGGAGGCATCTCCAGCGTTACCCAGTAGAGCCTCGCATAAAGATGGCCCCGTAGTGTGAGCTGCAGCAGAACCCTCAGGGGAGAGGCCTGACACACAGGGCACAGGCCACGGTTGCATTGGTGGGTTGAATGATGTTCAGTGTGATCGACCACCTTCCTGGTTATTTTAGGCTCAGAGATTTAGACAGCAGAGCTCCTGCCCTTGGAGTCCTGACCTTCCCCGAGGAAGGGGGCGGGGTAAAAGCCCAAGCGCCAGCAAATTCATACCTTAGGCTACTGTGCTTAGTGCAAAGGCCTGGCAAATGTTTTGAATTTCAAAATAAATGGTAGGGCCAGGAGTTTTCCTTCAAATAATCTGCTTCTGGTTCCCCCAGGGTGCCCAGGGTAGCCAGACGGGGTCCTATGGTTGGGGTTGAGAAAACAAAGGGGAGAAGGGAGAAGCCCTTAGGTTCTAAACACTCCTGTCTTAGATAAAATGACCAGTTACAAAACTTCTGGCCCCTTGTCCTGGAAACGCCATCCCTTTTCTGTTTGTCCACAGGAAGTGAACAGACAGGGATCCACCTCCCCCTTCAGGGAGAGGATAGGGCGAGGTGTGCGGTAAGGAGGGACTGGTTCTCCCACCTGCCAGTCCAGGGCTGGAGGAACTTCCAAGGCTTTCCAAGCTGAGCCTCATGGGCTTCCGTTGGAGTCAGGAAGGCATGTCGAATGGCCAAGGGCAGGGCAGGGTCCTCCTGTCCTTGATCTGACTTTTCTCAAAGTACACTGCAGTCCTCTGTTCGCCCGTTTCCTTGTAGAGCAGTAGCAAGCATAAAGGTTACAAAGCTCTTGACTGTTTTACAGTTAGGACACCGAGGCCCATAGAGCCTCAAGAGACTTGCCTGAGGTTACACAACTGTGCCAGCTAGACCACAAACCTGGAGTTCTCTTCCTTTCTGGGGGAGAAATCTGCCTGCTCCGCTGCTCATGCTGGGATACTAAGGGTCTAATTTCTTTCTCTTTCTTTCTTTCTTTCTTTCTTTGTTCAGTTCTTTCTTGTCTTTTTTTTTTTTTTTTTTTTTTTCCGGTACCGGGAATCAAACTCAGGACCTTGTGCTTGCCAGGCAGGCGCTGTGCTGCTGAGTTAAATCCCCAGCCCCTTCTTTCTTGTCTTTTTGAGACAGGGTCTCACTGTGCAGTTCAGGCTGGCCTTGAGCTCACTTTGTAGCCCAGGCTGGTCTCGAACTCACAAAGATCCTCCTGCCTCAGCCTCCCAAATGCTGGGATTACAGGAATGCGCCTTCACTCATTTAAGTATTCACCCATATACTATATTTACAGAGTCACTGCTGGACCCTGGCCGCCCGGCAGAATCAAGACAGACAAGATTACAGCCCTAAAAAAGAAAAGATTACAGCCCTCTCAGGGCTCACATTCTGGTGATGGACAGAGATAAACAGGCAATGAAAGTGTGAGAAAGAGATAATGCAGTTGGTTGATTCATAGTCCTGTGTGTGATCAGAGGCAGATAGGGGACTTATAAGGAAAGCTTGACCCCTAGGCCTCTCACTCAAGGTCTGGGATGGGACTGTAGTTTGTGGCTGTCTTGGTTACTTTTCTCTTGTTGCTGAGACAAAATACCTGACGCTCAGAATTAAGGAAGGAAAGGTTTATTTAACTCACAGTGTGTGCAGGTTTTAATTCATACTTGGCTGGTTCTGAGGCAGAGAGGCACAAGGCAGAGGGCAAACAGCACGGCGGCAGAACAGCAAAGCAGCCAGAGCAAAAGTTAGGAATGGCGGCAGGCAGACTTTTTCCCTCCCTTACATTGTGTGGAAGCTACTCGCCCCAGGGCGGGCGTAGCCCTCACACCCATAAGCCCAGCATTGGATCATGGATCAATCAATCACAAATCCTGCAAGCCCGCCCCGTGACTGCATGAGGATCTGGGGGGAAATCCACACACAGACCATAATAGTGGCCTTCTAACAAGTTTTCACACAGCTCTGATGAATGCCAGGGTTAAGAACTATAGCTAAGGAGATTCTGAACTGTAATAACTTTCCCCAGCTGCTCATTGAGTGTCGGGCATCGTGTTCCCACGGATTCCCCCCAGTGACTGTGCCGAAAGCTGTTGTATTTGTTTCCAGAGATAAGGAAACCGAGGCTCAGAACGTGAATTAACCAAGCTGAGATTCAAACCCAGGCCTTCCTGACTTGAGAACCTGAACTCTAACCAGTAAAAAGGATGCCAGGTTCTCACAAAGGCAAAGAGAAAACTCTCAAAGGGAAAAACACACCAAAAAGCCCAGGAAATGCAAGGGTTAACCGTCTTGTGCAGTCCTTGGTTTTTTTTGTTTTTTTTTTTTCCTGTACCGGGAATCGAACTCACGACCTTGTGCTTGCCAGGCAGGCGCTGTGCTGCTGAGCTAAATCCCCAGCCCCCAGTCCTTGTTTAATGTACTTAAACAGCAGATTCCTTCCAGAGACCACATGGCTGCTTGTGAGTCAAGAAACGCATTAGCCAGTTTTAATGACTGGATCTAAACCCTTCCATGGACACAGCCAAGAAATGCTTTTAATACCCTTTTCTGAGCTAAGGGTAGTGCAGCCTCCAAAGCCTACAGTGCCCACTTCACTCCCAGACTCGCTAGAGATGCCCCAAGCCATACCCTCATCAAATACAAGAAAATCACTGCCCTCTTTTTCTCTGGCCCTTCCATCGGGACACTTCAGACCCCTCTCCCTGCAGCTGGCAGATCCCTGCCCCTTGCTGGAGCCCCCAGTGACAGCCGATCTCACCGGTCATCTGACACTGCACCCCGAAACCTCAGCTGTTGCAAAGGTCATTTCCCTATTCCTGGCTTGGCCGGGTTTCTGAGCTGTGCAACTGTGACTGTCAGTAGCTCTGCTTCTGGCCTCAAGGAGCCAGTCTTCTGTCACCCAGCCATCCTGGGCATGTCCCCTCCAGCTACTTGGCCTGGCTCCAGTCCACGCCTGGGGCAGTTGCAGATCATCCCTGTCCCAGGAGCAGTGGGCTGGAGGGGGCAGATCTCCCTTCCTGCTCTAAGGACATGATGTTCCCTTTCCCAGAGAGATAGACCTCCCAGGGAGAGAGACCCTGTTTCCTCAGAGCCAAGAGGCCCAAAGACAGAAAATGATATGCTCGTATTCGTCTATTCATTCAGCATTCATCTGTATCCCAGACCCCTGCTGACATGAGCCCTCATCAGCTCAGGGGAGAACATGAGACCAGTGGTCGCTGTCCTTGGAGCCCCAGCTGGCCCTGGGAGACAGTGGGGACAGGGGATCCAGGCCTGGGGCAAACCAACCTTAGTCCACCCAGCACCACTTGAGACCTATATTCTTTTGAACATGTCACTCCATTCTCTGACCTTCCTTTTCTTTTTTAAAGAGGCCAACTGTCAGGGTTCTGATAATGAAAAAAGATTTACCCTTTTTATTTTTTTTGGTATTGGGAATTGAACTCAGGACCTTGTGCTTGCTAGGCAGGCGCTTGTGCCACTGAGCTATATCCCCAGCCCGATGTAGCCCTTTTTTTGTTGTTTTTTGTTTTTTTTCCAATACCGGGTATCTAACTCATGACCTTGCGCTTGCCAGGCAGGCGCTGTGCCGCTGAGCTAAATCCCCAGCCCCTTTAACCCGTTTTTGAAACATTAAATTTTTGAATATGGGAATTGCTATTTTCAAAGAAAACAAGAAAGTTCTTTAGCCATTCACAAATGTGATCTGTGCCTTGCCCAGAGTTGATGATCCAAATGGAATGACATCCTGCAGTGTGATCTCATGCCAAGGAAGAAGTCCATAAAGCCCATAAATTTCTTTTTTGTTTGTTTTGTTTTTTTGAGACAGAGTCTTGCCTGTAGCTCAGACTGGGCTTGAACCCGCAAAGATCCTCCTGCCTCAGCCTCCTGAGTGCTGGGATTACAGGTGTTCATGAGGGACAGAAAAATGTGTTTTCTCTGTCCACTGCCACCCAGTCACATAGGCCACGAGGCTGTAGAACCTTCCTTGAGGTGGTCGTTGGGCCACCCCCATTCTAGCAGGGACCAGCTAGCCGCTCCCTATGCATAGGGAGCAGAACCTTGGATCAAGTGGCTTCCCCGCTCAGTTGCTCAGAGCATTGTCTCACTGCTGATTGCTCAGCGACTGAGCAACGCTTAGATCTCAGCAGTGGTGGATGGTATCCTCTGTGCCCCTGGGCAGCACTAAGCGCTCCTTCTCACCTCACACACCCTCTCTGCTGTCCCTCAGGACTGGGCCCCTCGCTGTCCTCGCTGCTGCCCGCTCTGTGACTGCGCCTGTGCCTGCCAACTTCCTGACTGCCAGAGCCTCAACTGTCTCTGCTTTGAGATCAAGCTCCGATGAAGACCAGGGGCCCTGCTCTCTGGGGAGCGGCCGGCCCCCAGGGCCCCAGGGCCCCCTGCCTAAGGGCTCCCAGGACGCCTCTCTCCAGCCCCCGGGAACCGCAAATGGCAGGCCCAGCTTACCAGCATTGGAGGGCCTGGCTGCCTACAGGGCAGGCCTCAGAGACCCCCCTGGTCAGCTGGACTGCAGCTAATTCGGAAGGCTGGAAGGGATAGGGGCTAGTGCTTCCGATCCCAAGCAGACTGTTACATTTGAAGGGGAGGGTCGGGGGCACTGCTCCCCACAGACGGCACCATGGGCCTCAGCCAGCCTTGAGCATCAGGACTTAAGGGTGCCCAACCACACCCTGTCATGGATGCTTAGTTATTTTAGGAGGTGAGTATCCGCCTGCATCTTCGCGCCCTCTAAACACCCCGGCCGTCGTCAGGCCCAGTCCAGGGAGGAGGGAAGCAGAGGCGGTAGGAAGGGCCACCCCTTGCAACTCCCCGTATTCCCTTCCCTTCCCACAGATCCCTGCTCAGAGATTTATTTCTGACAACCAAGAGCCTCAATCTGGATTCCCAAGGAAATTTCTTGCGAAGCACCGGTGAGTAGGCAGAGGCCTCCTCCACACGCGGATCCAGCCTTGCTGCGTCTTCCCCCACGCAGGGCCCCGCTGGCATGAATGTCAGGGGCTTCAGGTTTCCCTAAATATAGGTCTCTGCTGGGGGATCCACGGCGGGAAAAGGGCAAGGGTTACAGAGCAGGTCCGGGACACTGGTGCGGGGGAGGGCGGGGGCCGCCTTATAACCCAGTCCGGGTGCGCCGGGCTCACTCGCTGCTGACCGCGCTCTGCCGCTGCTCCAGCCTCGCCGCAGGTGGGCCGCTCGCCGAGCGCGGGACGGGTTGGGCCGACGGGTCGGATGAGGAGGGGAGAGCTGACCACAGGGAACGGGAGGCCCGCACAGTGCCCGGGAGGCAGATCGGCTCGGGGACGGATGTTATTTTGGAGAAGTCAGATCCGGGGAAGACGTTTAGCAGGGACTGTGGCCCCACAATCCGTAGCCGGCCAGTTTCCGCAGTGTGGTTTCCGCCGCCGGCGGGTGACACGGGCCGGTCCACGCTGGCCCCGGGCGGAGCGCGCGTGTCCTGCGAGGCCCGGCTGGCTTCCGAGCCCGAGCCCGCCCCGCGCCGCTGTGGGTGGGGAGGGACCTGCCGGGGTGGGGCCGCGCACCGCCGGGGAAGGCGTCGCCGATCCCTGAGTCCCGGCCGCGCCCTGTGCATCCCTTCTCCGCCCTTTCCTCGCCTCCCTTGCGCACCTAGGGCCAGGGGGATCGGCTACGCGCCCCGAGCAGCCTAGCGCGCGGCGAGGCGGGCGGACGCAGGGCCACGCGGCTCGGATAGCGTGACTCACGCTGCAGCCGCGTAGGCCGGAAGCTGGGGCTGCTCGAGGCGCGGCCGGGCCCGGGAGGGGAAAGCCGGCCCTCACCTCTCTGGCTCTTCCACCCGCTTTCCCCACGCCTCCCCATCCCCAGTCCCTGCGATGCCAAAATTCCGGCTGAGTCACGGCGCTGCAGAGCGCGCCAGGCGGGGATGGGGGGGTGCGGGGGGGGCGCCGGCGCCGGGGGAATGTGTCCCGAGTCACGTCCAGAGGCGGACGGCGGAGGGATCCGGTTCTCGCAGCCCAGGTCCCCCCTCCCCAAGCGCCGCCTCCCAGCTTTGCATCTCTGGGCGGCCTCGCTTGCAATTGGACGCCTCTTGCCCGGCAAAGGAAATTCTCCGGAGGGCGGAGCGGTGCCTTTAAAAGGCCGGGCCCTGCGCCTCCCGCCCGCCCCTTGCGCCGCCCCCGGAGCTGAATAGGCCGCGTTCCTCTTGGAACGCGCGCAGCGCGGGGTGCTAGTGACGACCGTCGCGTTCGGCCGCAGTCCGCTCGCCAGCCCGCCGCCCGCCGCCGCTGCACCGCGCAACCGCCCCCTGCCGCGACAGGTGAGCGCCCCGGCCACGTGCGTGGGCCGAGGACCGTAGGGGAGGGTCTCGGGGGCAGCGGCGGGTCCGGCGTCCGCACGGAGCCCCCGGCCCCCGCTCCGTCCGGGCCCGTCGTGTCCTACCCACCCAGCCCCTAGCCCCGTCTCCCTGCCTCTCGGCCTCCCCAGCCCGCCTTGCCCGGGTCAGCTGCGCAACGCGGTCGCTCCGCGCTGAGTCATGGCGGGGGAGGAAGCTAGGCGAGATGGAGGACCTACCTCCCCACACTTTGTACCGACCCCCAAGTGCAAAGCGTTAGAGGCCCTTTGCCTCTGCAGAGACCCCAAGAGGCGGCGAGGGGCAGAGGCCAGCTCGCTTTCTACCCCAGGGTTCCCCCGCGGGGGTGGGGGGTTCTGCGCCGGGAGCCGGGCGCCCCTGGCGAGGAGGGGAAACCCCTCAGCGGAGCGCGATGACCAACTAACACTTTCCGTGTCTTTCCCTACCTCCTGACCTTGGTTCTGAGCGTGGAACAGCTGCAGCCGCGCGACAGGAGCATTTTGCAGGGAAGGGGTGGGGTGTTTGCCTATGCTCCTAATCCCCTTTCCGGGTATGAACAGTGGGAATTCAAACCTGCCCTTCCCTGCCCCTGGGCTAGGCTTGCCCCACTGCCCTTCACCGGGCTTTGGTTGCCCTCCTGCCTTTCTCCAGTGCCCTTTTCCTAACGCCCTTCCCCCACCTTGGGGGGGAGAAGCCTGACCTTGGGGTGTCCTTGGAGCCTGAGCCAGCCCTGGGATCCAGGGAAAATTGGGAGGGACACACCTCACTGGTGTAGTCAGATCTGGGTTCTAATCACAGATCTGGTCATTGGATTACTGCTCAAAACACAGACCTTTCCCTTCTCCGGGCCCATTCAAGTGAGACTGTTGGGCCCTGTACCCTATTTGTGCCCTTTAAATTCTAAAATACTCCGGTTCGGTTTTGTTTCTAGGCAGAGTGACCCCATGGCAACGCGCAGGCCAGAAGGGTTCAGCTTCAACATGACCCGCCTGTCCCTGGCTTTGGCTTTTTCCTTTCCCCAAGTTGCCAGTGGGCAACCCCACCCTCAGCTGGGCAACACCCAGCAGCAGAGAGAGTTAGGAAAGGTACAGGAGGAGGCAGGCCTAGCATAAGGAAGTCGGGTGTAGGGAGAGCTGGGGACAGGAAGAGCCCAGGGACCTGCCGGGCGAGGGGCAGGGGAGGTAGGGAATATTTGCCCTGACCTTCATGCAAGGGGCCCCGTTTGCTGGGAGACCACTGTGAGGCCCAGCTAACCACTCCCCCCTCCTCCCTTTGCTCCAACCAGGAACCTGCCACCACCAGCACCATGCCCCACCAATACCCAGCCCTGACCCCGGAGCAGAAGAAGGAGCTGTCCGACATCGCTCACCGCATTGTGGCTCCGGGCAAGGGCATCCTGGCTGCAGATGAGTCCACTGGTGCGGTGCGGGCAGGAGAGCGGAGTGGGAGGAGGGCATAGGGCTGCAAGTGGCAGGCTGATCCTCTTATTTTCCCCTGCGTTGCCCCCCCCCCACCCCCCCAGGAAGCATTGCCAAGCGGCTGCAGTCTATTGGCACTGAGAACACCGAAGAGAACCGGCGCTTCTACCGCCAGCTGCTGCTGACTGCCGATGACCGCGTGAATCCCTGCATCGGGGGTGTCATCCTCTTCCATGAGACGCTCTACCAGAAGGCGGACGACGGACGTCCTTTCCCCCAAGTCATCAAGTCCAAGGGTGGTGTCGTGGGCATCAAGGTGAGAGGACAGGGCCTCGGGATGTTCGACTGGAGGGGGATCGGGGAAGAGAGATCCAGATGGACAGAGCAGCGGCTGAACACTGGGTTGGAGGTCTAGGGATTTGGGTGGAGTCAGCTCTTTTCTGGTGCTGGGATTGAAACCAGGGTCATGTACATATCAGGCAGATGCTCTGTCCTATCTGGTTGTGGGTTTTTGTTTTTTGTTTTTTGTTTTTTTGGTCTTTTTGAGACAGGGTCTCACTATGCAGTTCAGGCTGGCCTTGAACTTGCAACCATCCTCCTGCCACAGCCTCACGAGTGCTGGGATTACAGGCGTGTGCCACCAGGCCTGGCTATATGTTCTAGCCCTAAAGGACACCCCTAGTCAGCATGTTTTAGTAGCCATACAAATTCAAAGCACGTGATCTTTTTCCATATAACACATGAAAAACCAGATGGTGGTGCATGCCTGTAATCCCAGCACTCTGGGCAGCTGAGCCATAAGTTTGAGTCCAGCCTGGGCAACTTGGCTATCTAGAAGACTCTCCCAAAAAAAGAGGTCCTGGGTTCAATGTCTAGTTATATCCCCACAAAAGTAAAAACGTTTTTTTTTTTTTGGTCTTTTTGAGACAGGGTCTTGCTGTGCAATTCAGGTTGGTCTTGAGCTCACTTTGTAGCCCAGGCTGGTTTCAAATTTGCAATGATCCTCCTGCCTCAGCCTCCCGAGTGCTGAAATTACAGGTGTGCGCCACTGTGCCCAGCAAAAGTTGGTGTTTTGGGTTTTTTTTGGTGTTGTTGTTTTTTTCTGGTACCGGGAATCAAACTCACGACCTTGCGCTTGCCAGGCAGGCGCTGTGCCACTGAGCTAAATCCCCAGCCCCCCTCGGTAAAAGTTTTTAAAACTGGAAGAAGATCAAAAGTTTAGGATTTGCAGCCTGAGCTACATAGTGAGACCCTGTCTCAAAAGAATAAATCATACATATATATGCAAATTATGAGAGGTCACATGAGAGATTACATGAAACTAGGGAAAAGGGCGCTCTAGAGAAAAGGGTGCTAGAGATCATTGCCTTCATCCACCTCAACAGGTAGACAAGGGCGTGGTGCCCCTGGCGGGAACAAACGGCGAGACCACCACCCAAGGTGAGAACTGTTTGGCACCTTCCCCTCCCAGCCCAGCCCACCCGGGTGGTGCCCACCTGGGTGCAGGAGAGGTTAGAGCCCCATGCCCCCCCACACTGTCTCTGGTCTCTTTAGGACTGGATGGGCTGTCTGAGCGCTGCGCCCAGTACAAGAAGGATGGAGCTGACTTTGCCAAGTGGCGCTGTGTGCTGAAGATTGGCGAGCACACCCCCTCATCCCTTGCCATCATGGAAAATGCCAACGTGCTGGCTCGTTACGCCAGCATCTGCCAGCAGGTGGGACTGCAGGGCCCTGTTAGGCCACCTCCCACTTCACTTGGCTCCAATGTGGGCTGGCTTGCCATCCATCTGCCCAGGCGCCTACCTTCTCCACACCCGCCCCGGACCGGGCCTGTCTGGAGCGGACGCTGTGGGAGTTACGGGGGTGGATCTGAGCAGATGCCTGTCTCCAGTAGTCCACTGAGCTTTGAAGCCAGGAGTCCTTTCATTGTTGAGATAAGATCTTAGCTCACGGCTG